ACGTCCTGGACACTCCTCTTCCGATCCAGCTCACTGCTATGGCCTGGGAAAGCAGCAGAAGATGGCCGAAGTGCTTGGGCCCCTGCACCCACATGGGAGACCCAGAAGAAGCTCCTGGCTCCTGATCAGCCCAGGTCCGGCTGTTGTGGCCATATGGGGAGTGAACCAGCAGATGGAAAACCTTAGTCTCTGTCTTTCTCTCTCTAACTCTAGCTCTCAAAATAAATAAATAAAATATTTTTTTTAAAAAATGTATGCTTGACATGGTCAAGCTAACTTCTGGCAGATCATCAAACTCAATTCTCTACATTAATAACTGTCGATATCAAAAAGAGCAGAAAACTAGGGCTGGCAGTGTGGCGCAGCAAGTTAAGCTGCCATTTGGGACACCCGCCAGTACCCTATATGAGCATGGAGTCCAGTCCAGGATGCTCTACTTCTGATTCAGCTCCCGAGTGATACACCTGGGAAACCAGTCCAGTCCTGACTGCTGGGGCCATCTGGGGAGTGAACCAGTGGACAGAATCTCTCTCTCTCTCTCTCTCCCTTTCTTTCCTCCCAACTATTTCACATAAGAAAAAAAATAAATCCTTAAAAAAAAAAAAAAAAAAAACAGAAAGCTGTTAGAACATATACATGGAGAACATACTAGTCTGCTCGTCCTTATTTAAATGTCTACAGTATTATGCAGATATATCACAAACACTAGGCTAACAGTATTAATATAATAGTAAGACTACAGGAAAATGTGAGCAAATATTAAACTTCTAGAGTAAAGGAAGACTAACATATAATGACAGTCTTAGGACAAGTCAAATGAAAGAGCAGTTCAGATTATAAGTTACTCCACCTGTGATTTAAAAACACACTGTGTTACTTGGCTCATCAGAAGCCATGATACTCAATTTGCTGTTGCAAAGAGGTAACTTATCAAGTCTTTTGATCACTATGTCTTCCTAAGAAGAGGCACTCTTCTGGTTAAGTAACTGCTGTTAAAGCTTGGTATCCTGCCTGCCAGTGAAGACTTCTCAGCACAATGCATATCCCCCAACTGTGCAATATCACACCGCTGGGGAAGAAGTCTTTCAAGGTGGGTAGTACCCCATTTCTGACCAGCGTTATTTCTTTTGTATTTCTTGACAAGCCATGCAAATCTTCACATGGTCTTATTTTCCAACACAAAAGCTTCAACTCTTTTTCCTAGTAGCCTAGCTACAACCCTACAAAAACAAACCTGGAGAGTGGCATATGGAGGAAAAGCAAGTTTAGCTAAGGACATAATTCAAAACACAGCTTCTAATAAGGGCATTTAACCCAAATTGATCTGAGAACAATCTAAACACAAACAACAATGCAACGATATAGTTAAAAATAGTATCTATGATTAATGGATGGTATGATCCCAAGATAGAAATGACAAATGGAAAAACATTATTTATGGTTAACTTTTAGGAAAAGATGAACTGGTTATGCTAATATGTATGTAAATTCTTTGGAAAAATACACATCTCAGGAACCATACATATACACACAATACTCTTTGGATCTTAAATTTCAATTAACCAAAGAATCTACCAGACCACTACAACTTTAAAACACGTATTTTAAACACTCCAAATTCCAAATGGTTCAAACCATGATCACCATAAAGCCATAACAAGTATCAACATGTCTCTCTAAATATTGTTAAGTGGACATGAACAAGTGAATATCAGCATATATATGAATTCTCTATTTCTCTCTCCATTACTAAATCAGCTGCTTTGAGTTCACTTTGTTTTGCTGATTTAGACCTTTATTTTCAATGTATTCTGACACACAAGCCACCACAGATACAAGAGACAACAACTACCATACTTAATATCCCCCAGACTTCCTGTGTAACTCAAGAACTACTCCACAAAGTTCTATCAACTCTTCCTCCAGCTTCAAGCCCGAAGTCAACCTAGGACAGCCAACAGAAAGCACACCTGTGCAATTACTGTATTCCCTGCCTCAGAACGCTGCGGACAATACAGTCCAACTCCTGAGTGCATCTGAAGCAACAATAAAGGCAAAACTCAAATTATACAGAAGTTGTACTGCAAAAGGTGGCCATCCCTTTCACAAAACCAGTAAAATATAACAAATGGAAAGAACATTTGAGCTTCAATCACAACCACCTCTGTAGGTAAGCCAATACGAAATACAAAAATGGACCTCATTGTAAGTTACTAGAGGAAAACTACCCCTGGCGAAAAATTGATTGGCAGAACGGTGAAATCAGAAACATTTTTATCTAGACTGTATTGCACACATACTGAATAAAAAATTTACTGTCAAATAGGCAGTCACGGAAGAGCAAGGCAATCGAAGAAAATCTAGATCACACTATGTGGTTCCCAGTATTCCCATTTTCCTGATGATACGACTGCTGAGGAAATTCCAACAAAAAATAACTCCAGAACAATCCTGATCATCCAAAGTGCGACATGGTTTCCCTTCGGAGAAATATTCTCCTGAAAAACTATCCGGCGACAGGCTTCCATTCAGTAAGTTTTCTTTTCTTTTTTTCAATTCTGAAAATCGGAATTTAAGAAGCTGAAGGAGTTTCAAACCAGAAGAAATTGTCCCAAAGGTTACAAAGTTTCACTAACTATCCGAACTCCTATGCTAGGCATCCCCGGTGGATACCAGGCAATCAATAACAATGTCACAGCAGAGTGTTTATACCCAGGTAGGGTGCAGGCAACCTCAAGGGGCCTTAACCTGGGCCAGGGCAACTTCTGCTTCCTACAGCCTCTCTCCAAGGGTCGCCAATGGTCCTCAGACCGAAGACCTGCTCGGCGTGCAAGACCGGCTTTTTTGTCTGCCGAAACGCACCTCCAAGCCCGAGCACAGCCGCTCCTACTCACCGCAAGTAATACTGTTTCAGAGCAAAGGCAGCGTTCGAGCAACTTCTGGGAAAGTTGAACTCTTCCACAATCTCTCCCCACTGGTTCTTCTCAGAAACCTGCGAGGGCACAGGCACAGGCACAGGCGTCAGACGGTGCACGCCGGGGGGCTCGGCCGCCCCCGGCGCGGGGCAGGGCGCGGGGCTCGGGGGCGCGGGGGCTCCGGGGGCGCGGGGCGCGGGCCGCCGGCGAACGGGCCCGGCGAGCCCCAGGTCCAGCAAGGCTTGTTTTGTTGGGGGGGGGGGGGGGGAGCGGTGGGTCTGTTTTGTTTTTGAAGCCCGGACAATAACCAATCGCAAAGTCCCTCTGTCGCCCCCTTTTAAACCTCTACGCGGTCCGTTTCCACGAAAAAAGAAAAGTTCAAAGGGGCCGGGGCGCGCGGGGCCGGGCCGGGGGCGGGCGCCGTGCTCCCGCGGCTCCGCCGCCTCCGTAGGCCCTTCTTTGCGGCCTACTCCGCCGCCTGCCTTGAAGCCTAAGATGGCTATTTGGAGACAGGTCCTGCTTTCTTTTGTTAGCCGTGCGATCCGCAGGCGGCGGGGCCGCGCCGAGCCCCGGCCGCCGGGACCATTTCGCGGCCGATTATCGATGCTAAACCTGCCCGCGCTAATTTTGAGTTGCACCAAACTGCTCCCGAGTCCGTCTCCGCCCGGGCGGCGCGGCGGCGGCGAAGGCGGCGGCGGCGGGGCTGCGCGGGGACCGGCGGCGCGGCGCGGCGCGGCGGGCTCGGCGGGCGAGGGAGGGGGCGGCGGCCGGCGCCCCCCGCACCCGCCCGCCCCCCGCACCGCCCGGGCCGCCGGCCGCCCGCACCGGGCCGGGCGCGGGCCGCCGCGGGCCGCGCTCCGCCGCCGCGCGAGCCAGCAGGCCGAAACAGCCGCCGCCGCCGCGCCCGCGCCCCTGCCCCCGGCCGCCCCCGGCGCCCGGCGCCCACCCGGGGTCAAAGGCGACTTTTCGGAGGAGGCCGGCGAGAGGGAGATACGAATTAAAACTTCCACTCACCTTCGCGAAGCCGCCCAAAGTAGTGACTCTGGTGTAGAGGCTGTGGAGATCCAGCTCCTTGCCGCCCACCGCAGGGATCTTCCGAAACGGCGACCTGCGGGGAGGGAGCCCGCACTTGTCAGCCGCCCGCCCGCCGCCCGCCGCCCGCCGCCGCCGCCCGCCGCCCGCCGCCGCCGCCCGAGCCGTCCTGCGCTCACCCTCGGCTGTGGTGGAACTGCCGCAGCTCGTCCAGGAAAGCCAGCCCCTTTCTCCGCTCGTCCGGAGGCGCCTTCCCCGTCGAGTTTGCCATGGCTCCCTCAAAGGCGGCCTCCAGACGCCCCGATGGCTGCCGAGAAGCGCCCCCCGCGCCCCGCGCTCCTACCACAGCCCGGAGCCCATTCCTCGGCGGCGGCGGCGGCGGGGCTCGGTCATGGGCCGGCGGCGGCGGCGGCGGCGGCGGCGGCGGCGGCGCAGGAGGGAGGGAGGGAGGGGGAGGAGGAGGAGGGGAGGGAGGGCGCGGGAGGCCGGGGCAGCGCGGCGAGGGAGGCAGGGGGGTTTCGAAAAAAGTTTAAAGAAATGGGAGCCAAACTAGAGGGGCAGCGGCTGCCGGGGCCGCGCGGAGCCGCGAGGCGAGCGCGGCCCCCACCCCTCGCCCGCCTCGGTCCCCGCGGCCCGGCTCCCGCCCGCCTCAGCGCCGCCGGCGCAGGCGGCTCGGCCCGGGGACGCGATCCAACATGGTGCCGCTGCCGGGGCGCGAGCGGCCGACGGGAGGCGAGGGCGGCCGCGCCGGCGGCGAGGGACAGGGCGGCCGCGGGCCCGCGAGTTCCAGCGGCCTCGGCGGCGGCGGCGGCGGGGCCGGGGCAGGCGGGGCCGGGGCGGGGAGGGGAGGTCTGTGTGGTGGTTTGTGGAGAGCGGGCTGACCGCGTGGGTTCCGGCCGCCGCTCCGCGGGGCCCCCGCACACATTCACGCGCGGCCCAGGCCGCGCGGCCGGGGCGTCCCCGGGCACAGGCACCGGCGGCCGCCGAGCCGCTGCGCGCCGCCCTGCCGCCTGCCGCCCGCCGCCCGCCGGCCTCCCTCTGCCGCCGCCGCCGCGCCGCCGCCACGGCCCGGCCGCCGCCGCACAGCGCCCCCCGAGGGCCGGCCGCGGCACTGCGCCCGGCTGCTCGCGGCCCGGCGGCTCCTCGCGGGGAACAATAGGCTCGGCTCGCCGGGCTTAGGGTTCATCTGCAATGTGCCGCACATTTCGCACGCACACAAAGCCGGCGGAAGGGGGGCGGCGCGGCGAAACGGCCACTACCGGCTGTTCCGGGGTTAGGGGCGGAGGCGACGTCCGCGCGCCCGGCCCCGCGCTCGCCGCAGCCGCCCCGTTGGCTGCCGGCCGGCCGGCCCCTCGCCGCTCTGCGCCAGGGCTGCAGGGGCCCGGGTGACCGGCCGCGTCCTCCGCGCACCACGCGCGGACGAACGCCAGCCCAGAGGAGCCCCACGGCCGGGGTGGCCGCAGCCCCCGGCCGCCCTCGCCGAGGCCGCCGGCGCGCGCCCGGGGCTTGCGCGGAGGTCCGAGCTGCGCAGGCGGGCGCGGAGCGGGACCGGGACCGGGACGGCGCCCGCACACACGGACACCGGGCCGAGCGTGTCGAGTGGTTAGGCACACACAGCCCTCGCGGCCCTCTCGGGCTCCGGGCCGCCGGCGTGAAAATTACGTAATGCGGACCCGCGCGCCTGCGGGGCTCCCTCGAGGGAACGGACTGAGTGCCCAAGTAAAGTCTGAGTCTGAGGGGTCGGGGCGAGGCCGTGGCGAGCAGGCTCCTTCCACGCGCGGGCCAGTGAGCGCTCGCAGCCGGCGGGGGCGGGGCCGGGCGGCGGCGGGAGCCGGGCGGCCGCTGAGGGGCGGTGGCGAAGTGGGCCGCAGAGGCGCGGGCCCGGCTCGCGCGGATTCCCTCGGCGCCGCACTTGCGCACGGCCCCTTACGTAACCGTCCGCGCCGGGGATTCCCTGGGGGGGTCGTTCCCTGCGACCATTACACACTCGCGGCGCCTGCCTCACAAAATGGCGGCGCGCGCGGAGGCGGCGGCCGCCTCGGCCCCATTTTGTGGGCGGCGAGCGCTCTGTCACCGTGCAGCTCCTCGGCGGGCGCGGTCAGGCGGCGCCGGCAGCGCGCGGGGCCACCTTCCTCGCTCGGCCTTTCCCGGGAGGCGGCGCGGCCTCCGCCGGCTGCCCGCGCGCCCGCGAGGGGACGGCGCGGGGCTCCGCGGGACTGGCCGGAGGCCCCTGGACGCCGCGCGGGCCCCGAGGTGGGCCGAGGCACCGGGCGCCGGAACGCGGCCTCGGCGGTGTCTCGGGTGAGCTGAGGCGGCGGACCTGCTGTCTGCGCGCCTCTGCGAGGGAGGAGCGCCGGCGGCCCCGTCTGCTGCGTGTGTGTGTGTCCCCGGCGTGCTTGACCGGGTGTGTGTGTGTGTGTGTGTGTCCCCAGCGTGCTTGACCGATTGTGTGTTTGCTCTGTGTGTGTCCCCGTCCCCAGCGTGCTTGACCGATTGTGTTTGCTGTGGGTGTGTGTGTGTGTGTGTCCCCAGCATGCTTGACCGATTGTGTGTTTGCTCTGTGTGTGTGTGTGTGTCCCCAGCATGCTTGACCGATTGTGTTTGCTGTGTTTGTCTCCGTCCCCAGCATGCTTGACCGGTTGTTTGAATGTGTTTCTGTGTAGGGAGGGGGACCCAACAAGCATGGACAGGAGTGCCTGTGTGTGTGTGTGTGTGTGTGCGCACACGGAGGGGGACCAGACATGCACGGGCAGCAGTGCTTGAGTGTTTTATGTATGTGTGTATGTACAGAACAGGATTGTGTGGGTCTGGGAACCCAACATGCTTGGCCAACAGAGTGTGCCCGTGTGTGGAGGAGGACCTAGCACGCGTGGACAGGAGTGCGTGTGTCTGGACAGGAATGCAGGGTCTGCACTGTGCATGTATGTGGACTCACATACATGGACAGGAGTGTGGACTGTATGTGTGTAGGAACTCACGCATGTACAGAACTGTCCGAGGGATTCTCACATGCATATGTCCCGAGTGCTTTGCTGTTCAAAGCAACTATCAAAGCTAAAGGCTGAGAGTGATTTTAAGATCTTTTTCAAAAATATGAGGTGTAAGAATTGACTTTAAAAATTATTTTTCTGCAGAAGGGGCTGTTGTCTTCAAAACGGAATCTTAATTTGTATGATCGATAACATTTCTTAATACTTGGTGTATGCTAGAAATAGTAGAAACCTAAACATACTTGGTGTCTGTTGAGTCACTATACCATTCAGCTTCCCCTTGATGAGAAAAATGTAAGACAAAAGAAAGCTATTACTGGTATTTGCATGTAAGATTAATGTAAAGGTTTAAGGGAAGACAGGATTCACCTGAGGAAACAAATACTCATTATACCATTGATTGATTTTGAATGTTGTTTTCCAGTTGTAGCAATCATGTGTGTTTGCCTGATTTCTCTGTTGAGAGGTATTTTGTTTGTTAATTTTTTGCCTCTGGCATTTCCTGTCTAATGTGAGGCTGTGCTTCAGTCACCGGGCTCCATGCCTGTCCCCTGCCACACCACACCGGGTTGCTGCTCTGCCCTGTGTAGATCACCAAGATACAGTTTCTAGTCCTATCTGTTTCTACTAATATCCTCCTTGATATCTGGTAAATTTGGTCACCAATCATTGTGTATCCCTTGCAAGAATACCATGTTGTAGTACCCAGCTAGGCGGAGAATGTGTATAGGGGATTAAACTGAAGGAACCCTAGTGCATCGTGCTGCCTTTCTCAGGGCCATGTTGCATTTCCTGTAGTGGGCGGCATAGAGCAGGTGAATCCTAGGGAAGAAATGTTAGCTACTTGCTGACAGTTTCACAGTAGTTAACCTCCAACTAGTGATAGGATATAAAATGTAGTTACTAGTTTTTTAAGACTAATGGAAAGTGTTCCCACAAAATTACCAATAACTGTGAAAATTGTTGAAACTCAGTTTGTACAGTTTCTTGTTACGATGAGAAATTACAGCAAGTGTGTGGGATGAGAACGTGCAGCATGGTTTCTAATAGTAGCTGCAAACTGCCGCTAGAGGTTTCTGTTATGTGGATCTTTGGCTCTTAGTTTAAGCGTTGCTTAGTCAAGAAGTGGTGATAAATTAAAAATCCCCTCACTATAAAAACTGTCCCCAGGTTCAAATAAAGCATGTCAGATATGTGGTTACAACAGCTGAAATAGGTTAATTAAGGAAGTGGTATGTCAACTAGAGAAATTTTTGGCTTTTAGGGTACTCTAAAAGACTGGTTTGCTTGGTTGAATGAGCTATTGAAGTTAATATATTTCTTTAAAGGTGGTGTTAAGAACAAAGGTGCTGCTACAGACCAGGAAAAAGTGTCCTCCTTTGTCTGATCATGATAGAAAAAACTGATTAGAGGAATATAGGGCCATAAGGCTGTAGGTAAGCTGGAGGGAGCCCGGCAGGGCCTGCTAAACCCCTGGCCTCCTCTCCCTGCACTTTTTCATGTGGGCTAAATTTCATAACAATATTAATTCATAAATGAGGCTTTTCCATTCTGATGGCATTTCTAGAAAGTGTGAGCAAAATGTGTTTAAAAGTGAGGAAATAGTTTATATTCTGCAGATTAAGGTAATTTTAATGCAGATACTCTCTGAAATTGACAGATTTCTGAATGATTTGACCCATAAGGGTTTGATAAGCTTTGGAGAATTTTTTTTAAGTTTCTTTTTCCTAGATGATAAAGGTCATGCTTTGTACATCAGTCCACTATGATTTATTTTTAAATGTAATATTTTTCGATTAAAAGGCATTCTTAAATAAGTTAATAATTGAAATTAAATTTTAGGCAATTATAATACTACACCATGGAAAAGCAGTTTCAAATGTGCTTTTGGCAGTGGCATCATTTGTTGTTTAGGTCATTTATCTAATCCTTTTTAAAATTGTTATTGGTTTAATGTACTACATTTGTTCGTTTCATCTGTTTGATCACTGAAAAGTGGTACCCAAACTGCACATTATACAGTTTATAATATTTTAATACTTTGTTTATAGTAGTTAATGACTTCTCAGAACTGTAGGAAAGCATCACGCAACTGTTTATTTTTGTCACTGCAGATTACTACATCACTGAGTGAATATTTACTGAGTGCTTACCCTGGGGAAGAGGTGGGGGAGGGGTATGACTTGCCCCAAGGGAGTTGCACTCCAGTAGAAGGTGTTTCTTACCTGCTCTTTTTTTTTTTTTTAAAGATTTATTTGTTTATTTGAAAGAGTTACACAGAGGGAGAAGGAGAGGCAGAGAGAGAAGTCTTCCATCCGCTGGTTCACTCCCCAAATGCCTGCACTGTCTTGAGCTGCACTGATCTGAAGCTAGGAGCCTCTTCTGGGTCTCCCATGAAAGTGCGGGTGCAGGGGCCCAAGGCCATCTTCTGCTGCTTTCTCAGGCCATAGCAAAGAGCTGAACCGGAAGTGGAGCAGCACTCGAACCAGCGCACATATAGCATGCAGGCACTGCAGGCACCGGTGGCTCTGCCTGATATGCCACAGCATCAGCGCTTATTATTCTTCTAAAACTGATAAGGTTCAGAAAGATTATCCAGGGTCTTAAGACTAAATTTAGGAAGCCCAATTATAAATGACTACTACAAATTCAAAATTCTTCTTAGAATAGGTGCAATTGAATATAATTTTGGGGACTGGCACTATGGCTTAGTAGGTAAAGCCGCCACCTGTAGTGCCTGTATCCCATATGGGTGCAGGTTTGAGACCAGGCTGCTCCACTTCTGATCCAGCTTTCTGCTATGTCCTGGGAAAGCAGTAGAAGGTGGCCCCAAATGCTTGGGCCTTTGCACCCACCTGGAGACCTGGAAGAAGCTCCTGGCTCCTAGCTTCGGATCAGCCCAGTTCTGGCCATTGCAGTCATTTGGGGAGTGAACCAGCAGATATAACACGTCTCTCTAACTCTGCCTTTCAAATAAATAAATAAATCTTTAAAATCTATCTATATATATATATGTGTGTGTGTGTGTGTGTGCAAAACAGCCTCACGTTAGTGTTAGGAGCAGTTCTGGGATTAGCATTACTCAAAGTGCTATAATGTTAGTAAGAAGCATTTAAATCACATTCTTTGAAAACTCAGGTCCATAAATATCATTTCAATAATTAACTTTTTAATTATGAGAAAAGCAAGGGAGTGTTCAATGAATGTAAAAAATATACTACTGAGCAAACAAATAGAAATTATTTTTAATGAATTTTGATTTTGTTTCAATTTTTTGGTACATTGACTCTTGACATTGTAGTTTGCTATGAATTAAAAAAAATTAAACCCCAAAGACAAATTAATTCCATCTTTAATCCAGATTTAATTCTTGACTAGCTGTAAAGTTTAAGGAATTGATAGTCTTGTTGGCAAAACAATAAAATAGGAATTAAGCTGAATTGCAAAGCTGTGTAATAATTGGGTTTCATGAAAATATATACGGTTTTTCCTTCTTAACTATAGATGCTAGTAGTATTGACTTAATAATGGACTTTATTTAGCTTTTGTTTTTCTCTGAAAACATCACAAACCATTCATAGAATCAGAATGGAGATTCAGCCATTGCCACTTGTAAATTCCTGAGACTTCCTGCGTTATGTACAGGGGAATTCTAACCAGCAGTCCTGTGGACACAGCTTTGTAAGGCGACGTGATCCGTGCCCATTGCAGAATGCCTTCTTCCTACCCATCCCTGCCCTCAGTGTTGGCTTGTAAAGAGACTTCTGAAAATAACAGTATATTCCCCCAGGGCTGGCATTGTCTGTCTCCCCCTCTCCCTGTTAAAAAAAAAAAAAAAAAAAAGATTCCTTAAAGACTCACAGTTTTATGGGTTAAAAAGATACATACTTCATACACAATTGGAAGGAATAAATAGTTTAGGGGAGCAACAATGATCACATTATTAAAAAAATAAAATAACATTCCCACAAGATTAGAGGGTCCACTCGTGGTCTACTTAATGGGGTTCAAAGAGTCCGTGAGCCCTGGGAAGCAAGGCATTTTCCCATGGAGACCATCTCAGAAGGCACAGGCATCTTAAAGAGCCTTGCCGTGACCCAAAGTGAAAGCTGTGTGAAGATGTGGCTGCAGGAAGTTTAGATGATCCTCTGATGTTGTTTTTTACTTGAGTACTGGCCTCTGAAAATGTGGCTGAAGAATGCCGCGTTAGTTCATCAACTTGAAGGAATTACAACAAGTACACTTCTTTCTAAAGAACTGTACAATAGATTCTTAAAGAAAAAAATCAGATGGAATGTATCGGACTTTTTT